ATCGCGATTGCCTTTCTTTGGCATAACAGGGTTCACAGCCTGAGCGGGTTCACTAACTTGCTTAGTCTTTCTGCCTCTCTTAGCACGGATTTCCTCTTCACTTCGAGTAAAGTCTGTAGCGCGGTGGAGAGCGTCTTGAATGGTCGTCGGTGGGTTGATAGTCAATTCGTGCTAGAACGGAGACGAGCATCGCAGTGCTCCTCTCAAAGCTTCTAGCGCGGACGTGTTGCTAATACCGTCCACCTTTGACAGCGTGTGCTTGAACTTTTTTATGAAAGACCGTAGACTTTCATTCTCGCCTTGTCGATTTGCCCATAATTCAGCGTCATAAATCTTTCATTCCGCGAAGATGTTTTAATGTTGCACGAACATCTCTGAGAGTTAGTGAAAAGTGTGAACTGAATTCTTCTCCATCTTGTAGAACCATTGGAGGGCATGCCCCTTGAGGCTTTCCACAAACAGTTTGTAGTAGACGACGTTTTTTTGGCTTCTCCGAAGATTGCCCTCCCTAGAGCCACTTCGAACTCCATCATATGGTCTGCAGGGTCTGTGGTTCCTTCGTAGATTGGTAACTTGATCCTTCCGGGATCAGAAATTTTAGTCCTCGTGATCCGCTCGGTGAAGGGTGTGTTCTATGCCTTCCTCGCGCTGCGATACATCTGCGATTGGGTTGTTTTCAAGTCGGAGACAACCCGCTCCATCTGAGCTTTTAACTCAGCGACCTCCATGTTTCGAGACAGTTGTAGCGCCCTACGGTCTTGCTCCCTCTTGTATAGCTCTGCTACAGAAGGTCCGCCTTCATCGTTGGCATCAGGGTAGTCATCGTTCCCCGAAGCGTCTTGCATGGCCTCTAATGACTCACGCGTTTCTCGTGGTCTGCCAGTTGCATTGTCTGTTCATGCGCCCCTTCAAGGAGCTGGTCGGTCCTCGTCTGAGATCTCCACGAAGTGTTCGAGAGTTCTATCAGATTTCCGTTATAGCGGTGGCGGCGGCAATTCGCCCGGATCCCTTCGAGCAACACGAGGTATCGAGAAGTTGAGGCGATGCGGGTCGAAGCGCCCCCTGAGTCTTGCAGTGTCGGGTCTTTTGCGCTTCTTTCGTGAAAAAACCTTCAGCTCATTCGTAGTTGTTTCGCTAAACTTCTTCTGCTCATTGGATTCCTTGAGGAGCGTTTACAGCATCTGCTTGACCTCAGTCATGTCTCATGGGTTTGCAACGACATTGGTGGTGGGGGCTTCGACGGAGCTCTCCTTCTCTTGGTTGTTGTTGCAAGATGAGGACTCCTCGCTGCTACCACTTGATCTACCCTTTTCGTCGCTCATCTTCTTAGATCTGGTGTGTGACATAGCTTTTTGTGTGAGAAATTCTCTAGTTTCTCTTAGACGGTGCCAAATTGTGGGAGTCAAGACTAGCACAATTAGATTTGTAAGGTTTTCGAGAGGAAGCAGATATTTCTAGGTTAAGTTACGAAAAAAAATGATGAGCAAAAAGATGTATGTTATTGCTGTATATGGTTTTGTGAACAAAGTTGCGGATACCCTTCTAAGGGTTTGTACATTGATATATATAGTCCCCTAAGTCGGCTAAGCCTTTGTCTAAGAGATAATCTTAACTTTTCCTAAGTCTTCACGGATTTCCTTTTCCTTATGTCGGTTATGTCGAAGTGGGCTTCGTAACCATACCGGACTTG